TGGGGGGGTCCTGAGGGGGCTCCGAGAACACTTTGAACTATTTTGTGGCCCTCGTCAGGCCTCTCGGAGGCATGTCGGGAGCTATCGTGAGCCATCTTCGGCTATCTTGAGCCGCCATGGAGGTCATCTTGGAGCATCGGAGGCCCTCTTGGAGCCATCTTGGGCTATCTTGGACACCCTGGCCGATCGCGGCCCGCCCCAACAAAACCTCAGGGAGGGGAGGGGGAGGGTACCCCTCCCCGAAGGGAAGAGGGTCTCCGGAAGAGGAAGGGAAGGACTCGTCAGACCACTTTAGCCGAAAGGGCTGGTGGGACTCGATGTGGTGGAGCGGGACATCGGCGCTGCTGCGTTGAGGCATCCCAGGGTTACGGCACGACCTGACGAGAGCACGGTGCCTCTCAAGGTTGGCTTGGAAGAGCCGAGACCATTTACAGTGGAATCCCATGCCAAGAAACGCCCTGCTTGCCTCCAGGGTGCCCTGGGTTTCCTGGGTTTCGGTGGTTTTGCTGTGGGAAGCGTGACGCTCGTCCACCAAGAAATCAATGGACGTTCTGGGGTCTCTGAGTTGGGTTTCTTGTGGAAGGTTTCTTGTGGACTGGCCTCCGCTGTAGAAACAAGTTGTGTTTCAATGATGCTGCTGTTTCCCATTCGTTCTCTTCCGACGCGCTCTTGGGGCCTCTGGACGGCCGGAGAGGACGGCCCAGAAGAGGCCCCACGAGGGCCCAGGAGGAGCCCACGACGGCCCCAGAGGCGCCCGAGAGGCCCTGAAGGCGGCCCCCCAGGACGGCTCCGAGAGGGCCCCAGACTCAGAAGGCCCAGCTACCCTCGAGAAGCACTGCTGTTCAATATCGAAGACGCCTACGGCGAATCACCGCCGCCCCCTGCCTTTTGGAATCGCCCATGTGGCCGAGCGTTTTGGTAAGAACTCTGCCAAGATATCGGGCCCTGTGTTCCACGAGCCGTTGTCGAAACCCTTCGGGGAACCTTCGGGGAACATTCGGGGGAGGAGGATGTTGGGGAACATCAGCAGGAGGAGGAGGAGGAGGAGGAGGAGGAGGGGGCATCTTGGGAGCCTCTGGGAGCACTCTTAGGGCCTCCTGGGAGCTTCCAGGGAGCCTCTTGGAGGCATCTTGGGGGCCTCCTTGCACCTCTTGGGGCCTTTAGGGTCTTATCGGAGGCTCTTTTGCCGTCTTAGGGCATTCTTGGCCTGTGTGACGCTGTCGGAAGCCGTCGTTGGGGCCTCTCTGGGCCGACTTGGAGCCCTCTTGGGGTGCTCCGGGACCATCTTGGAGGCCATCCAGTCATCCATAACCCTTGGTTCTGGGGAGGAAGATTCTCTCAAGCCGCGTCCTTCTCCATCCGGAGATTCGGGGATTCGTTTGCCTTTCCGACGGCTCCGCTACCCCGTTTGCCGCCCGGGCCCGAGGCGGGGTAACAAGTTTCGGCCTCTTCTCCAGTGTTATGATGTTCCAACCTACATTAGCCTTCGAGCTCCAAGAAAGCACCCCAAAACTTGAGGATTTTCACGTGTCGGGCCCTAGGAGACACTCTTTCGACACTGTTTCGATATTCTTTCGACACCCTTTCGACACTTTCCTGGGTGCTCGAAATGATTTCTGCGAGGTGGCCCTCAAGTCCGATGGGAGCCACATAACTCCAGCGGGAGCTGTGTGGCTCCTCTGCGGGCCGGCGGCCTCGCAGGGGAGCTTCTGGGGTCGCCGCCTCCTGGTCGGGCGGCGCCCCCCCGCCGGCCGCTTGGCGCGGGCCGCTCCGTGTGGCCGCCCGTGGCCGCCGGCGGTGCCAGCTTTGCCGCCCGCCCTCGCCTGGGTGTGCCGTGCGCCGGCCGGGCGGGGTGGGTCTCGGGGGTCCTTGTAAAACGACGCGAAGATCGGGACAAAATCGGATCGGGATAACTCGAAATCTCTGAGAATCGGCGGGTTTGGAGGATGTATTGGGCGCCGCGGCCGCTCCAGAGCGTTCCGGAACGCTCCGAGAGCGCTCCGGAACGCTCTGGAGCGATCTATCCCGATCCTAGCCCTTTTTTACCTTGGGCGAGGCGTCCTGGCTCGCCTATAGCCCTACCAAGCAATGTTCTGAGAGCCTTGCGTGGTTCCCACGAGAAAGGTTCTCAGGACATTCCTGGCGGGGGCTGTCTTGTCTTAACACATGGGGTTCATGTTCTAAGAACATTGTTTTTGCTCTTAGAACATGTTTGGGTTCTAAGAACATGTCGTGGTAGGACTATAGGAATGCCGGGACGGTCGGTCCCGGCTCAACCTTGGGGTCTCCCGGGCTTCCCCGTCCGGCCGCGCGCGGTGCTTCGCCCGAGGGTCCGTGCGGGCGCACGGGGATACTCATGGGGATAAGCGGGCAGGGCAGGACCGTTCGGGCGTCCGGGAGGCCTCTTGGGTCGACGTTTGGGGGCCTCTCCGGCCGTCGCGGGGGCCTCCTGGGCCCTTCTGGGGCCATCCGGAGGCCTCTGGGGCGATCCCGGGGCGATCTCTGGGGGCTCTCGGGCCGCCTCGGGCCGCCGGGCCGAACAGAAGCAAGTGCCAAAGTCTTTCAAACACCGAAGGGACACGAGTGATCTTGGTCGCTTCGGGCCTGCCTAATCGGGCGAAGAGAACTGTGCACATGCACCGATCCTGACAACGCCCATCCTTGACCCGTGATCGGTGCATATACCTTTTTGGCCAAGGTAAGAGGGCGTATGTACCGATCCTGGGCTCAGGATTGGGAATCGGTGTATGTGCATAGTTCTCTTTCCTCTTCCTGAAGGCCCTCCTGGGCGCCTCTCTGTCTCGGTGGCCTCTTGGGCGGTCTTGGGGCCGTCTGGGAGCCATCTTGGGCAGTCTCGATGGCCTCCTGGCCCGTCTGGGGCCGTCTTGAGGGCCTTTCTGAGCCGACTTGGGGCCCTCTTGGAGAATTCCAGGACCGCCTTGGAGGCCATTCGGGGCGTCGTGGAGGCCTCTTGGGCCGTCATGGGGCCATCTTGGAGGCCTCTTGGAGGCTTCTTGGGGCGATCTTTGGGGGCTCCTGGGCCGTCTCGGGCCGTCAGAAAAGAAGCAATGCCAAATCCATCAAACACCAAAGGAACATCGATGTTGTTCGCCTCTTCGGGTCTTCCTGGAGGCCCCCTTGGGCGCCTCTTGGACCGTCTTGGAGACCTCTTGGTGGTCATCATGGGCCGTCTTGATGGCCTCTCTGGGCCGACTTGGAGCCTTCTTGGGGTGCTCCAGGGCCGTCATCTTGGGCCGTCTTGGGGCCCTCTTCGGGCCGTATTGGGGGCCTCTTGCGCCGTTCCGGGGCCAGCTTGGATGCCTCTTGAAGGCATCTTGGCCGATCTTGGGGCGATATGTGGGGGCTCTTGGGCAGTCTCGGGCCGCTGGGAGGTTGAAAGAAGCACGTGCTAACATCCCTCAAACACCGAGGGCAAATCAAGGATTTTGGCTTATTCGGGCCTTCCTGGCGGACCTCTGGGAGATCTCATGGGTCGACTTGGAGGCCCCTTGGGCCGTCGTGGAGGCCCCTTGGAGACCTGTTGGGACGTCTTTGGCCGTCTTGGAGGCTTCTGGGGCGAACTGGGAGGCACCTAGGACTCTTTTGAGCCGTCGTAGAGGCAATATTTGGCCCATCTTGGGCGAACTGAGAGGCAATCTGAGCCGTCTTAGAGGCCATCTTGGGCCATCTTGGGCCGGGAAAGGCATTGACATACATACATTTTGCAGTCCTTTCGGGGTGGCCAGCGGGACGGGCCGAAGCCCCAGGGGGAACTCTTTTCGAAAAAGAAGCAACATCAAAGACTGTAGGATTTAGCACGCCAGGCACCCCTGTGACATGAACAGAGGGCGGCGAACCTAATGGCCGTCGGCCCGTCCCGCAACCGTGCCTGGGTTGTGGGTGTGAAACCTATGGTTTGTTCGTTAGGATCTCGTGGCCAGAGTTTGGACGCCTCTTGAGGCCTATGTTGGGCCTCTCAGGGCATATTGGGGGCCTCTTGGGGCCTTCTCGGTGCCTCTTGGGGCCTCCTGGGGCCCTCTTGGGGCGGAAGGCTTGGATTTTCAGTTTGCGTTCCCTCTTTCGGGTCCCTTCTGGGGCTGTCTTGGGGCCCTCTTGGGCAGTTGTGGGCGCCTCTTGGGCTGTCTTGGGGCCCTCATGGGCCGTTTCGGGGCCCTCTTGGGGCCTGCTGGGCCGTCATGGAGCGGTTTTGGGGGCCTCTAGGGCCATCTGGGAGCGTCGGGAAGCCGAAACGGCGAGAACGCCAGAATCTTTCAAAAACTTCAGGGCAGGAAAATCTGTGATTTGGGCCTCCTGGGGCCCTCTTGGGAGGCCTCTTGGAAGCATTGTTGGGCGTCATGGAGGCTCTTGGACCGTCTGGAGGCCATTGACGGCGTCTTTGGGCGATGCTTCGGCGAGTCGGGGCTCTCTTGAAACGTTTCTCGCGGGCACAGCGTCCAGAGGACCCCCGTGAAACATGCCACAATTCATAGGGGGCCGCCCCAGGACTGCCCGAAACGGCCCGGGAAACGACTGGTCTGGGCCAGTCGAGAGTTACGTCTCTGGTTGCAGCAGGAGCAAAGCCTCTACCTCTCAGTGCTGCGTGAGCCTTGTGGCACTCCGCTTCGTGCCCGAGGCACGGTGGCGGATTTTTGTCCTTATCCTTCTACGGGGTTGGCGCGTGCCGCGTCGCACAGTGCCTGTGCAAGGCAGGCGAGACGGTCTCCAAGATGGGCTCGAAGATGAAAAAAGATGGCCCGAGATGGCCCCAGAGGGCATCGGTCAGGCGTCCAAGAGGCCTCCAGACCGCCACCAGACGGCCCCACAGGTCGCCACAGCTCCTCGGGACGGCCGCCCAGGGCGCGCAGCGCCGATCCCCGTCAGCCGCGCGGAGCTGCAAGAGCTTTCTGCTCGTGCGGCTGCTCCTTCCTCTGGAGGTGGACACGGGCGGGGAGGATGCGGCGAGGAGGGCGAGGCGGAGGAGGTGCGCCTTCGCGCCGCAGGTCCGCAACCACACCAGCGCGCCCGTCGCCGAGGACCGGGGACCGGGGGTGTACCGACGGGCCGAGGGGCAGCGGGTCGGTACCTGATCGGTGAGAGCACTTGGTTTTTTGGGGGATTCAAAATGAGTCGCAGCAGCGCAGAGGGCGTGCGTAGCGACGCCAGTCGACACTCACAGGGCGTGCGTAGCGACGTGCGTAGCGTGGCGTCGCCACGCGGAGCGTCTGAAGACCAGAGATTTCCAAAACAAATTGTTCCCACAACGCAAGTACGAGCCAATTCTGGTGGCGCCCACAAGAGCGCAGCACCCGGGGGGGGGTCCAACAGGCGGTGAGGGCCTTAGAAGCCCGCCCGGCTTTTGAGAAGGCTTCGAGCCGCCAGGCCCTTGCCAGGAGGCCCCCGCATTCTGAGAAGCCCCTCCGCTTTCTCGGGGGCGCATCCCCCTCGCGCCATCCCCTTCTGGGCGCCGACGAGACACGGGAACGGAAAGAGAGGGGACGAGCACCAGCAGCAGTTGTGTCGGTGACGGTGCCGGTGTCGCCGCGGCACGTGGGCATTAGGCAGCAGAGGCGCCTTCCCAGCAGCGCCACGGCGGCCAAGCTGGCCTCGGTGGCATCCCTGGGGGAGGGCCTTTCTCTGACAATCGCGGAGCGAGAAGACGCTCGAGGGGTAGCTTCTTGGCGTTCTCTCGGCCTCCACATCCCGCACCTTCCGCGCAACGGCGGCGGCCGCGGCAGCTACAGCGGCCACGTCGCGGTTGAACCTGCCGCTCGGAGTGTGCGGAAAAGTCCACTGGCAGCCGAGTGTTGAGGCAAGCTGCCAGCGATTGGGCGGAGCTGTGTTCCTTGCTCTGGATAGCTTCACGGGCGAGGGGGCTTGGATCGCGTGGAGGGAGAGGGGCGGGGTTGGCCCGCGCCGCGCGGGTGCGGAGACTGGAGTGGGCCGTCAGGGTGGCACGGGGGAGGCGTTTTTCGAGCGACGTGGCGAACCCTCCTGGGGCACCCCAGGAGTGGTGAGGAGAGGTGCCCACGATTCGGCAATTCGGCCGCGTCGCGATCGGCTGCATTCCGTGGGCTTGATTCGGTCGGTTGTCGCTGGACTGTTCTCGGCATAATCGGTCTCGGTCGATATTCGGTCTCGATGCCGGCTCGGCTAGGAGGCCAAATCCGAACCCTGCCCCTCCACCCCCCTTAGAAATCCTGGTGGGGTACAGTGGAGGCCCATGCAAAGAAACACCCTGCTTGCCTCCAGGGTGCCCTGCGTTCCTTGGGTTTCGAGGGTTTCGCTCCGGAAGGAGCGACGCTCCCACGCCGAAAATCCATGGACGTCCTGGGGTCTCAGATAGGGAAAGGGGGGGTTACGACATCTGCTACATGCAGCTGGTTTCGGCCCAACCGAGGGGCCCATTCCTCGATACATACATGGGCGCCTCCCGGCGCCGGGAGGCGCCGGGAAAATCAGCTACGCGAGCTGATTCTCAAATCCCCCCTTGGCCATCCCCCCCTTTCGCCCGGCCCGAGTTTCTTGTGGCAAGTCTCTTGTGGTCGGGCCCCCACTGCAGAACTCCTGGGGTGGCGGGGTATGGGTGGCGCGTGTGGCCTTCGATCGGTCCGGTTTCGCGTGCGCTGCCATCGGGGAGGGCCTCGGCGAAGGGCCGGGCGCGTCCCTATACCTAAGTCGGGTCTGTCCCTCTACAGGGGAAATATGGGAAAATAGTCAAAAGATAGTCTGAGGACCCTTTTTTTATATATATATAATTGTTTTACAATTTTGATGTTTTTTTTGAGTATTTTTTATTCTTCGTCGAAAATCCCCCTGTGGGGGGACACGCCCGACTTAAATCTACACAGGAGGCAAATTCAAAAGTTGTCAAAACAGTGTCAGGGCACGATTGTTCGACAAGTTCTTCGCTGTTGTTGAGGACTTGTTGACTATTGTTTGGATCGCCGTCTTCCTGCCACCCTCCACCCTTGAGTCGGGCGTGTCCTTACACAGGAGGCAACTTCAAGAATGGTCAAAAAACAGAGTCAGGGGACGATTGTTCGACACGTTCTTCGCTATTGTTGAGCACTCGTTGACCATTGTCTGGATCTGTCCTCCAACATCCGCCAGCAGGGGGGACATGCCCGACCATGACTCTGCCCCGCCTGCGGCTGCTCGGCATGGCGGTCCTCGGCGCTTCCGCTCGGCCTCCTCGGAGGGCCCAGCCACGGGCTGGGGGCACCGCGCGGATGCCTCCCGGACGCGGAGGGGGGGCGCTTGGGACCTTCTCCGCCGCCGCCTCCTCCTCCGCTTCCTCCTGGCCCTCCTCCTCATCTTCCTCCTCCGGGCGCCAGGCATGAGTTCATGCCGTGTCGGCATGTGGAGAGGCGGTTGTGATGGTCGCCTCGGACTTTCGCTTGGAGGGGAAAACTCCACGCGGCGACGACCGTGGCGCGGGCGGGCAAGGTTGAACGCTGCAAGTGGCCTGGAATCGGCGAATATCGAGCGATCCTCATTATCGCAGAATCACGAGGTTGAACGATCCACGCGGACGGCGTCAGAAACCCGCGCGCAAGTCGTCACGGCACGAGCTTGCCGCGTTTCAGGTGGGGTCCTAGCTCGCGGGCGACCTCTCACCTCCCAATCCCCGAGCTCCACCCCCAGACAAACTGGCCGTTCAGGAAAGAAGGGGAACTCGGGGTATGCCCCCAGGGGGAGATTCGGACGCACCCCTATCACATATGCACGCACCCCCCTCGTAGATCCTCGAGTGGAGCCCCTGGTGTTCTCTCCAATCGAGAGTCTCCCACAGTCGGGGATGAGGACCATCATGTCCACCGTCAGTCGCCCCTGTCGGGCTTGCACCTGGCCCCAGGACTGCGGAGAGGAGCGGGTGCGGGCGCACCAGGGGGGAACAGCCGCGCCCCAGGGAGTTGTCCAACAGACCCGCCCTGCCTGCGTTGGAGTCTGCGGTGCTCGCTGCTCCCCCGGGATCCGCTCGCGCGAGCCCCAGGTGTCGAGATCCCAGGGTGCCCTCGTGCAGGAGGCCGACGCCGCACGAGCGACGTGGAAAAACGGGGTCGATTGCGCGGACATTTGCGCGTAAGTCGTTCGCGTCGGGCCGCGCGTAAGCGCCCTCGTGTCCAGTGCGGCGTGCCGCGCCGGCGGCCCGCGTAAGCAGCGGCGCAGGGCCGCTAGCTGTGTCGTCGTGCGTGAAAGAACCGTTTCTTTTCGTGGCTCAGCAGGCCCTCCGGCTGGCGGAGACTTGGCCCAGCCATCGGCCAAGCCGCTCCGCTGCTTCGAAGAGCTCACGACCCGCTCCAGGAGCTCGGCAGGGGGCGGGGGGGGCTCGTCCACATTCCAGCCCTCGAGGCTGGGCGCCTCTGCACATCGCCGGCCCTGCGAGGATCGAGCGGGCCAGCGCGGCCGCCCGCGGCGCTCTCCGGGAAGGGCGGCAGCGAGACGGGCTTCGCCGCTCGATGTCGGGCGGCGCCGGGGCGCGCCGTTGCAACGGCGCCCTCCAACGGTGCTCGAAGTGCTCGGGCTGGGCAGCCGCGCCTCCGCGAGGGGAACGGCGCGCCGACCCGCCCCCGTGCCCCGCACCAGCTGCGCCTTCATCGTCGCCGCGGGAGGGCGCTGTCTGCTCGGATCCAGCGGCGCAGACGCCCGCCTCCGTCTGCCGGCGCCTGTCGAGCCCGCTGCGCCTCCTGATGCCCCGGCGCGGTCGTCAGGCGCGTTGCAGGTCTGGCAACCGTGCGCCCCTGGGATGTTTTCTGCCCGGCGCCGAGGCCGCCGCCCGCCTTGGCCGGCGACCGAGGCCCCTTCGCCGCGCGGCGCGCTGCGCGGAGCAGAGGCGCCGGAGCGGCGCGGCATCCGCGGCCCTGTCGCGCGCTTCGCCGTCCGCGCTGGTGGCGCGGGGCAGAAAGGGCCTTTCACCTCGCGCGGGCATGCCGCCGCTGGGGCGGCTGCAGGCAACCCGCTCGACGGCCCAACCGGTGGCGCATGGCGGCCTCCAGTGCGGCCCACGCCGCTGCCGCGCTGCCGTCGCGTAGGGAGGCCTGGGAGGGCCCCCCCGCGCACTCGGACCGCCTCGTCGGCGACGGCCAGCTGGGCGTCGGGCCACCAGTTCGAAGCGGGCCCAGCACGGGGCAGAGGCCGCCTCCGCGCGGCAGCAAACTGCGGCTCGACCGCCAGGTTCACCTCGAACGTTGCGTGCGTCGCCACGACGCGTGCCGCAGCGGTCCCCGTTGGCGAGGACGCAGCCCATCCTGGGCGGGCGGGCCAGGGAGTCCGGCCATACCGGGCACCGGCGAGCGAAGCCGAAACGGCGGCCACCAGCAGCGCCTCGTTGTCCTCGGCCACGGACGGGCCGTCAGCGTAGCCATGAACCTGCACAATGCGCCGGGCCCGCTGGCCCCCGAGGTGAAGCGCGGCACGCAGCAGCCGGAGCGCCTGTTCCGCGGCGAGGCTGGCCATGCCCGCCGAGCGGAGGCCGCGCAGACCATCGCGGCTTGCGAGCGCCAGCAAGTGAGCGCCATCACTGGCGCGCCCGAGCTGCGCGCGAAGGCCTGGGCTTCGGGCGCCACCGGCAGCCAGCGCCACCGAGTCCGCGCCAGCTGGCGCTCGCGCCTCCTGCGCGCAAGGAGCATCAGCATGGGCAGTCAGCAGCCCGCGCCAGCTGGCTCGCCAGCTTGTGTCGCTGGCCGTCAGGAGGCGCGCCGGAGGCCCAGGATGGGGCGCCGCGCCCACTCGGCCACGCGCAGAGGGCAGCGGTGGGAGGGGGGGGGGGGCTTCTTAGAAGCACCCTTGCTTCTCAGAAGGCGCGGGCCTTCTCTATAGATGCAAGTCTGGCACCTTCTAAGAACCAGCCTCCTTCTAAGAACCCCCCCCCCTCCCCCTACCCCATCGCGCGCGCCGCCAACCCGCGCGGGCGCCTCGGCGCGGCCATCCGCTCCGCCGCCAGCGTCGAAGGCGGCCGCCGACAGGGGGGCGGGCGAGCTCTCCGGGCCGCCGCGCGCGG